CTCTTAAGTTTTCATTTTAATATATAACTTAGTTAATTACATTTAGTGTATTCAAATTCACAGAAGCAATGGATGAAATTTCCTCAAAAATTTCCCTTTGCTTCATCCCTCCTTTCTTAGGAAGAATTTTGTTATCCATAACAAAATACCTGCTCCAACTCATTCACTCCATCTCTCTATATCAGTTAAGCTTACTTATAAAAATGTTCTATATACTGGTATATATATACACTACAACCCAACCTTATACTTATATATATATATAAAAAAATGATATACGATTATATGGTATATATGGTTATAAGATACACATAATTCATTAGAATTATAACATGTTCTTAAATTTCTCAAAAACCTCGGGTCCACTACTAATTACCCATTCTATAAGTGCACACACCTTCCAATATGAGCAGTGCTCTTGGGGATATCGGTGATAAGTGCAGGTTATTGGGGTGGAGCACGTCAGTCTCCGATATGCGGGACAGCCGTAATCCTCCATATCCACGCAGGGTACATTCAGATAACACTTCAATAGCTGCACTTTCTCCTTTCCCTTGGTATACACCTTTACATATTCTTGCCTTATCTCCTGGTGCACCCATAGGAAGTCCAACGTGGAGTGATCCCCGTCTTCCCATCGTAACCCATGCAGGTACATGGTGCACCAGAGGACGATCTGAATCGCTGAGGCGATCCTCGGGAAAATGAGGTCGGAAACAATACACGTCTGTCCACCCGGTCCTACAATCCATGACCACCATCTCCTTGATGACATATAACCCATTGACCTTGAAACCTTCAACTTCCACGATTGCTGCCTTGGGCCGTGGCATGGTTTTCCTACAATTATTTATACTTAGTCATTAAACATACATGGATAGTTTGCATAACACGCACAACACACGTATTCGCTTGTTCTTTCATTCGTTCACCATAGTTACACTTGCTTGGTGTTTCTGTCCAATCCTTGTTCGTAATTGTTCGCTAGGTCACTTCAGTTTATTCGTCCTCGTTCAGTTCACTAAG